AAAAAAAAATTATTATTAGTTCTAATGCTCTATAAAATTTTTTTTTTTTTACTGCAAATAATAAATACTACATATTTTTGGGATTTTAAGTGCTTGCTACTGAAAATTATTTTAAAACGTTTTAAGATTATTTTGCTCTAAACAAATATTAGCTTGTCTAATTGGTAGATTTAAAAATATGTGGAATGATGCTAAGTCTCGCGTATCAATGATAGTGTTAAAGATTTTTCTGTATAAAGAAATAATTCCTTAGACTCTCTTTTAGATGTAATTCCTTTGTCTACTAACTAACCCTCTTGATTTTTTTTTGGGGGGGGGAGTCATCTTTGTTTCTCGCTATCACAAAACACATTTTCTTCAAAGAAAAAATCATTCCATTAAATGTTCTTTAAATTTCTGTTGTTATGTTTAAAAAATAGTGCCAATCTGTACTTCAATGCTAATGTTTGCTTTTCTTGTGAATAAACAGTTGTGTTTTATTAGTTTGCTTCTTTTTGTCTAATTTTCTTTTAATATAATTTTTGGAGAATTACAATAAAAACTTATTATTTGCCTTACAGTATAAAGCATTTATTTTCTTTATGTACAAACATGAGGAGATGTTAATCGAATTTTTTTTCGGTAATTTCACGACTAATGTTTTTCTTTATGAATCATCTACTGAAAAAAAAAGCATTTTTTTTTTTTTTGCTTCATATTCAATGACTGAATTTAAAGTGTTAATATATTCCATAAATTACCAATCGTTTTATCTTGATGCTCACTTCTATATCTCACTTTTTTTTAATACAAGTTTTGCAAATTTATTTCTAAAAAAATTTTCTATTTCTGTTACAGTTACAAAACGTTTAACTTTTAGTCTATACCAATAAAATCTATAGCAGAAATGAAACTTTTTTTTCTTCTTTAAAAATTTAATAAATATATAAACTTAGTTATTCCTGGTGGGAATTTTAACTCAATCAGTTTGTAAAATATTCCGTTGCGCCAAACTCTATGACACGCATTACTGATGTCAAGCATTAACATAGCTGAAGTCTATTTTAAGTGTAAGCCTCTGCGAATGTTGTTTTTGAGGTGTTAACCCACATTGTTCGGCTGGTAAACATGAAAGACAAGGTTTTAATTGATTGTAGACTATTCTCTTCAAGCGTGCAAAGCAAACTTATAAGTTGATAGCTGGAAGGTAATAGTAAATCTTTGTTTGCTTTAGATCAGCGGTTCCGAATATTTTTCGACTACAGAACCCTAAATAATTAACCTTCTTTCAGCAGAACCCCCTACTTTATAATTAAAGTTAATAAAGATAATAGTGAACGTTTTAGTCCATTAAAGACTATTTTGGAAATACTTTATTATTTTTAAATATTTTAACTTTTTTTTTTGTGATAACATCTAAAAATTGGGAAAGATAAAGGACTCCGATCTCAATATGAATAATATAAATACAGTGTTGTTGTTAACCAATATTAATGATTCTAAATTTCTCTTTATAATCTTTTATTCTTTCTGAGTTCTTTATAATTTGAAATTTTAAAACTTATACGCAATAAGAGAATAAAATATCCCTTATCCAAGCAGTAGAGTTAAAAGAATAAAGTTTCACTTATCATGGTAGGAAAGAAAGTAAGGAGAATAAAAGTAAGCAGTAATGAAAGAATAAAAATAATCAGCGGTATAAGAATTTATCCGTTTATTACCTATTTCCCGTTATTATTTATTACCAAAAATTTATCCGTTTATTACCTATTATTCGCTGTTTAACAAAGGAAAAATAGCTATTTCTATATACAGAACACATGATTCACGTTAAATTGTCGAACATTATATTAAATTACATAATATAAAATAAATTAAAAAAATTTAATTTCGACCACCGCAGGGTTTCGAACTCAGGACCTCCGGGACTACATATCAATCCTGCCCACAACGCTACCAACTGCGCCACGCTTCACATACCAAGCCCGCGAATATTTAGCTTAAAGCACCTTCTTCCGGATAGTCAACAAAACTTATTTTGGCCCATTGTGGGCCCAATAAATGGGCTATAAAAAATTCCTTTAGCACAATTATTTGTTACATTAGACTCTAATTTCGGGTAGAGTTTGAAATTTATAGGCTAATATTATAGGGAGTAACGGGGTGCGATGTGTGCGTTCCTCCTGATATCAATTTTGTCCCTTTTTCTGCCAGTATTCGCTCTTTAACAATGAAAAACAATTCTTTTCATATATAGAACACATTATTCACTTAAAAATATTTTAAAAGAAGTTAAAAAATAACATAAAATAAAATTAATAATTAAATAAAAATTATCAAAAATTTTTCCGTTTATTGCCTATTATTCGCTATTTAACAAAGGAAAAATAGCTATTTCTATATTCAGAACACATGATTCACGTTAAATTGTCGAACAGTATTTTAAATTACATAATATAAAATAAATAAAAAAAATTTATATTCGACCACCGCAGGGTTTCGAACCCAGAACCTCTGGGACTACATATCAATCCTGCCCACAACGCTACCAACTGCGCCACGCTTCACATACCAAGCCCGCGAATATTTAGTTTAAAGCACCTTCTCCCTGTTAGTCAACAAAACTTATTTTAGCCCATTGTGGGCCCAATAAATGGGCTATAAAAAATTCCTTTAGCACAATTATTTGTTACATTACACTCTAATTTCGGGTAGAGTTTGAAATTTATAGGTTAATATTATAGGGAGTCACGGGATGCGATGTGTGCGGTCCTCCTGATACAACTTTTGTCCCTTTTTCAGCCATTATTCGCTCTTTAACAATGAAAAATAATTCTTTTCATATATAGAACACTTTATTCACTTTAAATTATTTAAAAAGAAGTTTAAAAAATAACATAAAATAAAATAAATAACTAAATAAAAATTATCCAAAATTTTACCGTTTATTAGCTATTTTTTGCTATTTCAGAAAGGAAAAATAATTATTTCTATGTGCAGAACTCTTGATTCACTTTAAATTGCTGAAGAGCATGTTAAGAAACATAATATAAAATAAGTAAAAAAAATTTAAAGTCGACCACCGCAGACATTTGAACCCACGACCTCCGGGACTACTTATCATTCCTGCCCACTACGCTACCAACTGCGCAACGCTTCGCATACCAACCACGCGAATATTTAGCTTAAAGCACCTTCTCCCGGTTAGTCAACAAAACTTATTTCGGCCCATTATGTGCCCAATAAATGGGCTATAAAAAATTACTTTAGTTCAATTATTTGTTTCATTAGATTCTAAATTTGGGCCGAGTTTGAAATTTATAGGTTAATATTATAGAGAGTAACGAGGTGTGATGTGTGTCTGCCTCCTGATACAACTTTTGTCCCTTTTTCGGCCATTATTCGCTCTTTAAGAACGAAAAATAATTCTTTTCATATATAGAACACTTTATTCACTTAAAAATATTGAAAAAGAAGTTAAGAAAGTAACATAAAATGAAATAAATAAATAAATAAGAATTATCCAAAATTTATCACTTTCTTAGCTATTATTCGCTATTTCATAAAGGAAAAATAGTTATTTCTATATAAAGAACACTTGATTCACGTTAAATTGCTGAAAAGCATATTGAAAAACGTAATATAAAATAAATAATTAAAATTTAAAGTCGACCCCTGCTGGGTTTCGAAACCAGGACTTCCGGGACTACATATCAACCTTGTCCACAGCGCTACCAACTGCGCTTGTTGACATGTTAACTTGATTCTATGATGAGGTACCTTTTCATATATGAAAATTGACATTGTCGATAATTACTATCTCCTCAAAAAACTGTTCTGATTGTAGAGAAATTCATTAATTTGACAAAAAAGACCCTCAAGCTCTTCTTACTTTAAAAAAAAAATAATAGTTAAATAAATAAAAAAAAACACGCAAATGCTGCAAAAAAAATATGTATTATTGTAAAAAAAATGTGTTTTTGAATATGAGGACGAATTTAACAAACAAAATTATCAGCGAAATATTTCAAATTTTATTAAAAGAGCTCAGGCTCAGGGGATGGCTCAGGGGATAGAGCTTTCGCCTTCCAATGAGGTGAACCGGGCACTTGCACTGACCAGGGTGTTGACCTGAAATATCCTCAGTGGTAGACGGATAATGGGTTAGAGTCCCTTTTCCGTCAGGCTAACCGTGAGAGGTTCACGTGGTCTTCCGCTCCATGTAACGCAAATGCGTGTTAGTTCCATCAAGAGGTCCCCCACAAAAGCAAAATTTCTCCAGATACTTGATCCAGGAGTTTCTCTGCCTTCTGGATTAGATTCGAAATTACAAGGCTATGGAGTTGAATATTAGTAGTCGTAAACCCAAAAATTAGGTCGGCTGTTCACCATCGGTTATAAAATAAAATATAAATTTTACTAAAAGCTTTCTTAAAGAAAGGTTTGGAAAGCATTTTGCCCCTCTGAACATTTCATTGAAAAATTTTTGGTCATGGTTGTTTGGTCTCATGTATTTTTAAACAACTACACAGAAACAAAAAATGATGCTTTACTAAAGAAGAAATGCAGGTTTATTAGCGGAAGTAAAGAATAAAACGAGAGAAAGGGAAACATTAAATAAGAATAAATGATATTAAGCATTAATAATTAATCCACAGACATAATACAGACTCCATTTTCAATTAGCACCTTTTTACGTGTCAATTGTTAGTTAAAACATTATTATATATTATTTTTTGAGTTTTTAGTGTAGTGTGTCGACCACTACAAAAATACCATTCCAATTCACCAGTATATAAGACGTGTTAACTCGATTTTATGATGGAGTACCTTTTCATAGATGAATGTTGACGTTGTAGATATTACTCTCCCCACAGTTAGGATTAAGTTTTCATTTTTATCATTCTCTCGAAAATTATTTCATATCATTAAATACTTTTTTATTAGTACTTTTTACTTTGATTTAACAAATAAAAAATAAATTAAACAAGCGCTTCTACAAAACGTTGAATGCACTACAAACGCTTTTAAAACGCTTCTGCAAAATTAAAATAAATAAATAATAAGACACAGTAAATTATTTATTAATCTGCAATAATTATTTCGTTATATGTGATCACTGTTTCTTCACCATTTCAAATTTATTATAAATGCCGATCAGTAGTAGTGTGATGATTAAATCCATAATATTCTTCAACAAATTTAATTAAAATTTCAATCACTCTTATTTTAGAACTTGGAACTTTTTCTAATTGCGCTTCAATAATTGTATTATTGAAATTAATATATATTTTTCCAAAAATGTCATTAAAATTTTTATCACTTACCATATAATTATTTTTATAATGATCTACAATTTATTTCAATGTTTATTTTTAAGTAGGTAAAAAATGGAACATAAAATTTTTTCATTTGTTGTGATAGAAATAATGCATGGTCGGAAATAAATACGAAAAGTTTGTTTTGTTACTTGTGTAATAAACTATGCTTTTTTTTGTGATTTATTATGTTTCATTTTTTATTCAGAATTCGATACATTAATTTTATTTTCTGTTTGGTTCAAAATCATAAAATAAAATTTAAAATGGAATCTACGCTCCAAAAATAACCTTTAGTTAAAGACCGTGATTAATATAACATATAACATATTTTATAACAGATTTTTTGATTATCACAGATTTTTTAATTTTCAAAATCTTTTATTGCTTTATTAATTAAAGTTAAAGACAAAGAAGATTCAGTAAAAAATGGCTAAGTCATTAAATGAAAAAAAATGTCTTCAATTTTTAAATTTGTATCCTTGCACTCAATTATTTTTTGTGTAATTTTAAAGCGTGTTTAACAAAATACGAAGAGTCGTGCGGGCCCAGGGGATAGAGCGTTCGGCTTCCAATGAGGTGTACCGGGTTCGAATCCGGCAATGGCTGGTCGAAACGAATTCCGCACCCGGCTCGCAACAACTGCAGTGCTGACGTATAACATCCTTAGGGATAGACGGAATGATAGGTTAGAGTCCCCTTGCCGTTGGGTTAACCGGGGGAGGTTTTCATGGTTTTCTTCTCCATGTAAAGCAAATGCGCTTAAGTTCCATCAAAAAGTCCTCCATGAAGACGAAATTTCTTCCAATACTTAATCTAGGAGTTCTCTGGTCTTCTGTATTGTGTTTAAAATTACAAGGCTACGTAGTTGAACTCCATGAAGACGAAATTTCTTCCAATACTTAATCTAGGAGTTCTCTTGTCAACAGTATTGTGTTTAAAACTACAAGGCTACGTAGTTGAACATTAGTAGTCGTAAACCCAAAAATTGGGTCCACTGTTCAACGACTGTTATAAAATATAATATAATGTGAAGAGACAAAAAGAAATAGTTATATTAGGAAATCTTTCTCCATGTTAAAAGCTTGCAACAAGCAGAGAGGAATGATCGTGACGTCACGGATGAGCTGTACTGCCTGAATTTGTTATTCTTGCTGTATTATGAAGCTTCCTTTTGGTGTTGCCAAAAAATGAAAGTATTTTTCACTTCCGTTTCTCCAGCTCCTATTTTCTAGATTATTCCTATTTCTTGATTAGGTTCTCATCGATTTTTACTTTCGTTATTAAATAGTTCAGATAAATGTGTGGGATTTAGGTGATATGCTCTGAATTCTTTTCCGGTTTATCGTTTGAAATAAGTAGAAGAATATTAAATGGCAACTGCTTCTGATACAACTTTGGAATTTTTCACCAAAGCCTCCCCCGCACAATGGACTTATATATTCACAAAATATAAAGATGTATTAAAAGCGAAAGCCGCTAAGCGTACAAAAAAAGGGGGTCCTGAAGAATTAATACGAATGGATGCATGGTAAAGTGATCGCTTTAGTTTATTGCCTTTCAAATATAATTATTAAATATTTTTTTCAATCTTCATTTTTTGAACTATACAGTTATTGAACATGTGTGAGAATTTTTTGCTATCTTATTTAATTGAATGAGAATATAATTGAAAATTTTATTGTTGACTGTTATGATTCATAATTGATGTATTGAATTAAATATAGCTTATACATGCTCCAATGCAGTGTTCTGTATTCAGTTTTTTAAAACTTTTTTTTGAAGTAATTATTCAGTTTTTGCCTCAATTGTGGTATCAAATTGATATGTAGCAGAATAATCGCTAAGTCTTTGCAACATCCTGAGTGACCTGCGAAAAACTAAAAAAAAAACTTCATAAAATAATAAAAAAAAGCATCACTGACCAACTCAAAAGGTTTAACTCATAGCCACCCCCCTGGGCAAGCATCTACATGTTTTTTTATTTAAGAAATTGCAAGTTTAAAATCTATTTGGCACCTTGGGGATTGTAGTTGGCACGACAGATCATGATACGGAAATATCCACGTGCCAACTACAATCGCAAATGCGGAATATAGATTTTTAACTTGAAGGTATTTTAACAAAAGTTATTTAGAGGTTTGCCCCTATTGGCTACTACCCTTCCTTTGAATTGGGACCTTTCTATGTTTTCTTTAGTTTCTTACGGACTAAAAGATCACTCTAGTGTAGATCATGATACGGAAATATCCCCACAAACTGATGGATATGACTCGTAGACACCCCCAGGCGAACCTTTGTTTTTTAAAAAGAAATTTAGCATTCACTTGATGATTGTAGTAGGCTATGACTACTGACCAAGATATTGAAATATCCCCTACAAATCAGGGATCTGTTTAGAAGAAATATGGGTCCGTTAGCGGACCCTTCACAAAATAATTTATCTTTTAATCAGACCCTTCACAAATTTGTTTATCTTTATTATTGCTTTGTTAAACGAATAAACCTTCCCTGGAGGGGAAAAAAGACGGTTCGAAACGTCCTAAGTTTTCCATGTTTCCCTAAGTTTGAATTCCAAATGTAGTATTCTAAGAAAATATTTCTACTTTTACAAACATCGTGTGCACCTTCTTATTGATATTAAATGATAAATTTGTTTTTTTTTGTAAATAAATAATTGATCAATTTATATGTATTCATAAAATTAATTAATAGAATATTATGTAAATAAAAATTAGTTTCTGGCAATTTTTTAAATAAAATATTATAAATTTAAGAATTGTTTAAGTTTACTTAATGCGGTATACATTAAAAGTGGTACATAACTAAGTTGTGTTATCTGAAATATGTCAATGAGGAACCTGCATGCTTTTTTGTTATGTTTTAAAATAAAACATCATGCTATTTTATAAAGATAGACACCAATTTCAGACCTGTGCGATAAGTAGTTATTTTGTTATTAATAGTTAAAATCGCTCGATTAGCCCCGCCACCTGAATCGCTGCTAGATTTCCCATCCACTCTGATGACGTCATAGTATAGTACAACCACGACTCCCATCATGTTGTGAAACGGTGAAAGCATATGCCACCCGAGTATAAATTCGGAAAAATGGCTCCAAGCAAAACCTACAAGTGTTGCGTTGTACCATGTGCAATAGTTCTATGTTAAACATGCCAAATAAATTATTTTTTTGTGTACCAAAAGGAGAAAGAAGACAAATTTGGTGCAAAGCCATCAAACACGGTGAAAAAAATTTCTCGCAAATTGTCTGCAACTAACCTATATTATACTGTTGCTAAGACCATTTTATCAGTATACTGAATTAAAATAGTTATGAAATGTTGTTCAGATTACTTTCTTTCTTACTTTTTTTTTTTTAATTCTTTAAAATGAAAGTATTTTATTCTTAGAGAACAGTGATGTACAGGTTCTTTTCTTTAAAGTTAAAAAATAATTTTATCTAGAAGAAAAAATGATCAAAGTTGAAATAAAAAATGATAGGGGCTTAACATTCTTTACATTTCTTCAAAAAAAAAAAATCAAGAAAATATTTTAGAAGTTAATAATAAAAAAGAATTTTTTTTAAAAATTTATTTACCTAAAAACTTACAATTCTAGGTCATATACCATTCATTCCATTCCCTCTAATTGTGATCAACTCATTAAATAAGAAACTTTCAAAACAGTTCAGACTTTTGTATATAGACAAATAAAAATGAATCAGTATAAATAAGGGAAAATGAATTTATTTCAAAAGTTATGAGGAAAAAAGTAGTTTCGACATTTGTTTTTTTATTCCTCAATTTTATTTCATTATGCTGAAAGGTGCTCACAAAAATTTTCTCAAGGGGGAGGATGCAACTGATATACACTACATATATATTTGAACTATATATATGGTATAAACATGAAAGAAAAACAATTTTTCAAAAATGTAGTTCAAATTAAAACGCATTTGTAACACATATCTAGATAAGAAGCTTTGCTTTAACTCCTCCCGTTCGCTGAGTTACTATACTTTGACGTCATAAACAAACCCCGCCTCATTTTGTGTCACGTGAAGTTAGTTTCGTTTTGGGCTAATTTTAAGTTAAGTTTTCTTTAATATTCGGGTTAGATTTTAAAATTCTGAATTGATTTTAGAGAGTTTTGAGGCATAGACTATTTAAAATAATCAACATTCTGCGATTACCCAACGCATGCTGGTTCCTCATTGAAATTATTAAAAATGTGAATGATTTTGTTTCCATTATTCGTCCGAAATGAATATTTTGCATTGAGCAGTATAGGCTAAATACCAAATATTTGTATATTGCATATCTAATTTAGTAGCAGCAATTGTTGAGCATAATCTTGTATCTATTTACAATTTAAAAACTTCTTGAAAAGGTTTTTAGCAATTTTTGCAATAACAGGACCCTATTTGCACAAATTCACAAAAGCATCACCCTGGTTGAAAGAAGCTTGACGTTTATTTTATATTCACAAATTATGAGTAGTTTTGTCACAATTTTACAAAAACAGGTCCTTTTACAAAATGTCTGGACAGACCCCTGCAAATACATATTGTGAATAATACTTTTACCCAGTCTATGAATTAATAATATATATTGATGTTAATATTATTAATTCATATAATATTGATGTTAGTTTAATTGCAGACATAAAAATGAACTCATACAAAGAATTAATACAGCTTTATTCATGAAATACATTTTTTTAGCTCTTTTTTATGATTTTATATATGACAAAGCATTTTCTGTTGATGCATTTTTAGGTATCATTATAATATTGTTGATGCATTTTTAGGTATCATTATAATATCATTGATGCATTTTTAGGTATCAAGAGCAATTACCTAAGCTGATACATTCCCGTAAAGAGTTATACATTACTCACGAAGAACTTGTTCAGTTAACTAAATGGAAGCTGATGGTAAAAGTTTCTTTTTTATTTTATTTATACTCAGTGAATGTTTATCAACATATTTTTTTAGAAATTTAATTTAAAATTCAAAAATAAATTATTTTTCATCCATGACTTACAATTCAGATTATATTATGTGTGTAACTTTGTATTTTTAGGATTAACTAACAAAATAAAGGTAAACTTTTAAGTTGAACATTGAGAGAAACAAAATAGTATATGGTATTTGGTTTTCTTTTCTGCAGAAATTTTAAAAAGATTTTATCTTTTCTTCAGAATTATGTTCAACGCATCATAGTGGGAAAAAAGATACTTGAGACTTTTATATTCTCTTTTTTATTTTATACTTTTTTTAGACTTTTTTTTTTTAGATTTTTAGACTTTTTTTTTTTTTTTTAGACTTTTATATTTTAGATTATTAATGAAAAATAAAGAATAATGAAGTAAAAAATTTGGTTTTTGGTGGAAATTTTCATTCTATTTTTTTATGTAGTTATTACTATTGATTTCCGCGTAGCTTTTAAAATCCAATATTTTTAGTTCGATATTTATTACAATAACTGAATTTCGAAATGAAAACACGCATTTAGTGACCCTGTTTTGAAGAGTTCGATTTGCGTGATTTCGCCAGCGATCTTTTTTATTTTGGCAGTTACTGCTACGGATTTAACGATTTTTTATAATTAATTTTCTTAATGTGATGATGATTTACAAATGATGGTTTGTTTCCCCCTACAAAATAAAAGAATATTTCCCATAATATTAGAATACAAAAAGTATTACATATTCAATTAAAAAAAATATATTAGGTACTTGATTCCCAAAGTTTTTGACATTTTTTTTTTGCTTAAATTAGTAACATATATATTTGTTATTTTTAAGTATCTTGCTGAAAGATATTAATATTAGCTTGAAAAATTTCTGAAAAGGGGCTGGTACTTACACATTTGCATGGTTTTTAATAATTATTTTCTTTTTAGTTAGATTAACACATGTAAAGCAATGTATGTAATGGCAGCTGAATGACAAGGCCATACTTCGGTTTGAGACTGCTCAGGGTATAGTTGAAATTCTTTACATGAGTTGTTTATTTTTTAAATAATTTTTAAAAATTTACATGAACTAAATAAATTAATATACTTTTAGTTTTTTGCAAAAGTACTTCTGTAATGAAACTAGAGGAAGTTTATCTCTTCCACTTCAATTTTGGGTAAACCATTCCTATAAAGCAGCTTTTTTATGAACCTAGTAAAGTCACCAGGAAGAGCATTTTTTTATCAAAAGTTGAAACCTTGCACTTTGGACAGATTCAGCAGTTTACAAAATGATTGTAAAAATGAAAATGATAAAAGTATTTTTTCAAAAGTTACGTACACTTCATACTGATTCATTAATTTGACTTTTTCCTCGATCAAAGCTAAGACAATACCTGCCAAGTCTCCTGTTTTTTAACGAAGACTCCTGTATTTTACGATTATCTCCTGATTTTCTGTATATTCTCAAATTTCTCTTTAGTTGTTGAAGAAAATTTAAAAAAAAAAAATTCTTGGTGATGAAATATCCGCTGATGGCAAAAATGCTTCTCTTATTCTGCAATAGATAGTGCTATAGGCAGTACTGCAGTATGTTGAGTGTTCATAGTTTAAGTAATTGTAAATAATGGTTTAAAAAAATTCTTCTATATACATATTTTTCTACTTCGCTAAATGTAAGTGCTTATATTATTTTCATTTTTGAATTTCTCTTTTGGATTTGCATGATTATGTATCAAAACTTGACTCGTAGCCTAAAATATGTCGCTAGTAAAATCTCCTTTATTTTATTTCTCCAATGTTGGCAGGTATGGTCTTATAATCTTTATAACTATTTTGATAGTTTGATATTTATTAGCTTTATTTGTAATTAATTTCCAAGCTAATATGAATCCAACAAATATAATTTTATAATAAAGAAAGACAATAATTTATTAGCATTAGTATATTGGTAAATGTTGCTTAGTTGTTTTATTATATTTTTAGAGGGAGAAATTTCGTCCCAATTTGATTGACTTGGTTCGAATAAATACTGAGAAAGCTGTTGTAACTCATAGTAAGAAGGCATTCAAGAGACTTCCCAATTTATCTGGAGCTATTGCTATGCTGACATGCTTAAAGGGTGTGGGTCCTGCTTCTGCATCAGGTAATCATTATCTTTGTATTCCTTTATTTCCTAGTGTGACTATTATTTTTTTTAATTACCTTTGTTTTCGTAAAAAATTTTACGGTGGATTGGTTGTAAAAGACATGATTCCCAGTAGAACACGAAAGTCAAGCATCAGTAAGCGGGTGGATAACCACTTCGATCAGCCTGCGTAAGGACTGAGGGTGTGCGGTATCGACAGGGCCCGACTTAGCCTAATTGGGGCTTGGGGCAAAATCTGCTTTGGGGGGCCTCTCTGCTTCACTACTTCAGAACCGAACTTTATGGAGGTATATAAATTTTTCACCTCACTATAGATAACAAGAAAATTGACTAGAACCGAAAATAGCTATAAAGTCCCTTCCCCTCTGATGGTCAAATGAAATATCGTTCTGTCCATTTTATTGATTTTCTGACAATTCTATGTCGATCATGCCAAATGCAGTTTTTTGATTGTTAACTTTGTCATCTAGCTGTGAAAAATTCATATCCTTCCTAACATTAGGGCAATATTCAGCTAAATTTACGCAATTATGACTCGATTAAGCCAATCAGAAGTCTATATTTTTGTAAACATATCGCATTTAAGATATGTATAAATACGGGCTTTTGATTGGCCAAATTTGTCCATCGTAATTGCAAAAATTTAGCTAAATTCCATCCTAGAAATCCTTGCATTTACGAAATATAAATTGTGTTCATACGATAAATTAATGAAGATGCTAACATAAAACTGAAGGATTTTAACCAGTATTGATATTTTGTTTTAAAAAAGTTTATTAAGTAAGGAAACGTAAAATATACTTTCTATTTGATGTGGGGGGCCCGGGGCAACTGCCCCGCACGCCCCTGCCTTAGTCAGGTTCTGGGAATCGATCATCATGAAACTGTTTGTTCTACCTTAAAGTGCTCAACTTCGCATGCTGGTCGTTGGACTACCAAAGCGGAGGAGTCATCCTCGGGTGTGTTTCCCAGACCATCGCCAATAGCCCATTATGCAGTGTGGCGTAAATAAAGTACCTACCTACCTGAACTTATGATGTTTGGATTGAGCGATTCAAAGTTCGTAAATTAAGAACTTTAAACAATAGAAAAAATTTATTTTTATTACTGCGCAGATCCTAATTATGATTTTTTTTTTGGAAAGTGATGAAAGATATTTTTTAAGTGTTTAAAAAGTACTTAAAAGGAGCTTATTTTTTGTTGAAAAATCTGGCTACGCACCCTGTATCAGTATTCAATACTATTCATAGTACAAACAATGTCACAAATGAGTGAGTTTAAATGCCATTCCATAAAATTTATTATAAATATGTTATAAAGGAAATATGTCAAATATTATTGTAATTGATATAATGCTGCGCAATAATTTTGATTTAACAATCTATTAATTTGCAAGAAACCTAAATGATTGTGAATGATTTATGAGGATTGGTGAGTGAAAAGAGGACATAGATAACCATGTATTACTATAATTACCATAACTGTGGAGAGAGACCATTAGGCAATGCCAACCTTCATCTATCATAAGGTACCTCAAGATTGAATCAAATTAGCATGTCTTATATACTAGTGGATTGATGTTTAATAATCATAGTAGTAGTTACCCAACAATACTCATCCACCAGAATTTTATCAGAGATAGACTATAGTCTCTCTCCAATTCAAAATTCCAATTCACTAGTATATAAGACATGTTAACTCGATTCTATGAAGGGGTACTGGTATTGAACAAAATTTGTCATGAAATGTCTTGATTTTTACTATTTTTTTAAAAAAAATCATGGAAAGTCATGGATTTAGGTCACTAAAATATCTTATTTTTAAAATGGAATTTGCCCCCCCCCCCTCCCAATTTCACAGTGCTCCGAATATCTGAATTTGTAACAAAATCCCCACTCAGTCATATTTTATTAAAATATAAAATGTTTTTATCCTGTTCTTTAAAAATTATCCTGTTCTTTAAAAAAAATTAAAGAAAGAACATCATTTCTAAAGGGAATTATCTTTTAAATTTATGTTTTATACTTCCTTGATTTCTGAATTATTTTATTTATTATTTTTTTATTTTATTTTATCAATTTAAAATTCTAGTTTAGACTTTTTGTATTACACTCACTTTTAAGAAGAAATAAAACAACTTTAAGTAGCTACATATATCTGACTGTATTTAGTTATTTTCATTTGTATTTTTTTCACCTAGTTTATTGCTTCAACTCTTTCTTTACTCTTTTTTTTTAAGTTTAAAATCAATAAATATGAAGATGCAGAGTAAAACAGTTTCGGTTATATATATAATTTCTATTAATGTTATTAAAATGCTTTTTTAAGTTGATAGTTGTGTTTTTGTCGGATAAAATAGTAACTTAGGTTAGTCATGAAAAATTCTTGGAATTATTCATGAAAGGTCATGAATTTGGAAATCTAAATTGTAGCAGATCCCTGTAAAGGGAGCATTGAAAATATGTACGCAGAGTAAATTTTCTTATGTGTGTATTTTGTTTCAGCTATTTTGGCTGCTGGCTATCCTGATCAGGCACCATTCATGGCTGATGAGAGCATGCTATCCACTCCTGGCGTTGAGACCATGGATTATACCGTTGCAGAGTACATGAATTATGCCATGCAGCTCAAGAAGAAATCAGATTACCTCAATAGTAAAGGTATTCTTCTGAATCATTGCATTGTCATTACTTAGCGGAAATATTTTTTTTCTCTAACGGCTGGTATTGAGCTTTCGTTCTTCACCTCGGAAGTGTTGCTTATTTAACGTTACCCAGTGGGCACCTGTGAACCTAAGTAACGGAGGCGAGCAACATTACCCACGCCATACTGCCACAAATACCCGTTCATAGGGTGGGCCACATTCACACATCACACACAACAGAGGACAACACATAGAGATAAACATCCATGCCCAGAGCGGGATTCAAACCCGCAGCCATAGGCTTCACAGTCAGGCACGCTAACCTCTCGACCACCTAGCCGGCACTTAGCAGACATATGCAATGTTTTATATTCGTCGTCAAACAGCCGACCCAATTTTCAGTTTACGACTACAAATGTTCAACTTCATGGCCTTGTAATTTTGAACCTAGTCCAAAAGACAAGGTAATTCCTGGATTAAGTATTGGGAGAAATTCGCCTTTGTTGAATACTTTTTTGATTGAACTAACCCGCATTTGTGTTACGTGGCGAGGAAAACTACGAGAACCTCCCACGGTTAGCCTAATGGCAAGGGGTCTCTAACCCAATATACGTCTACCACTGAAGATATTTTACATCAGTACTGTGGTCGATGCAAGCCAGATGCATAATTTGTATTGACCAGTCATTGCTGGGATTCGAACCTAATACTCCTCACGGGAACGCTCTATTTCCTGAACCATCATAGTTTATATTGTCGTTGAACAGCCAACCCGATTGTGGGTTTACAACTACTCATGTTCAACTCTGTAGCCTTGTAATTTTGAAATCAATCTGGAAGACAAGGGAACTTCTGGATCAAGTATTGGGACAAATTTGCCTTCGTGGGTGACTTATTGATGTAACTAACCTGTATTTGCATTAAATGAAGAAGAAAACCACCAAAACTTCCCACAGTTAGCCTGACAGTAAGGGGACTCTAACCAGTTATCTGTCTACCGCTGTGCATATTTTATGTCAGCAATGTGGTTGGTGCAAGCCAGATGCGTAATTTGTATCAACCAGCCATAGTTGAAATACCATTTAAAATATATATACAGTAGGGAACCGATTATCCAGAACGATCGGGACCATCGCTATTCTGGATAACTGATTTTTCCGGTTTTCTGAATCACTACAAAAAGCCGTTTTTTTTATTGTTAAACTCAACTAAAAAAAGAAAATTGGAAATAATCTTAAACAGAAGAAAAAAACGATGATGTAATACACTAATGATTGTTTCCAAAATGATGGTAAGGTAAACGTCTTTCAAAAAGGAATGAAAAAACCTAAAATCTTATGAGGAAGAAGAAAAAAATTTTTTTTTTTAAATGGCGGGAAGTTTATCTAAGTTTGTTCCGGTTTTTTTGGTTTTCTGATTTCCGGATAACGGGTTCTGTACTGTATTTATATATATATATATGTGTGGTGTGTAAATGATGACTACCATATTTTTAGCACTAACAAACTTTGCTACTAATTATGAAATCATGCGCTGACTGTGAATAGATTTTGAAATAATTTTTTCTTCCTTCCACATTTTTATTAACATTAAAGATAGTTCAAGGCTTAAGTTTGTATGTCACTATTACCTCATGGGCTATAAGTTGTGTATCCCTGTAATTGACAAAGTGTAATTGTAAGACTATAAAATTAATGAAGTTTTGAAATTCATCAAACTCGGTTAGCACGGAATTAAATGATTAACGAGCACAGAATTATATGATTCATCAATCATTTAATTCTGTTGGCATGGTGACTTTCATGGTGCGTAGCATTTTTAAAAAGTGCTTAAAGGTACTTATTTTTGTTTTCTAAAAGCACTTTAAGGTGCTTTTTTTATTGGGTGTTTTTAAAAAGTGCTTAATTTTCCCTTTTCAAATTGTTCAATTGTTTTTTTCGCATTGTTCTATTCAACATTTTAACAATTCATTCAACCACAATCCATTTTGGTTTACATTTGGTCGATAGCATTTAAAAGCGCCAATCATTTTCCACAAGTGCGTCTACTGATCTGGGTTTGGTGAGATTATCGCACTCGCATGTGAAACCCTGCTGCTCTTTGCAAGATGTTCTCAATTTCAGGCTTCATTTCGCCCCCCCCCCCTGATATGAAACCAAAAAATCTTTCGATGTTTTTATTATAGCTAATATAATCAAGAAAAGAGTTCTTTGTCAGAGACTAGTTACTTTATCATGATCATGTTAAGTCTTTGAAAATTATTTTGCATTTTGTTAATGTATATAGTGCTTAAAAAATATTTTTTTGAGTGTTTAAAAAGTACTTTAAAGGTNTCCACATTTCTATTAACATTAAAGATAGTTCAAGGCTTAAGTTTGTATGTCACTATTACCTCATGGGCTTATAAGTTGTGTATCCCTGTAATTGACAAAGTGTAATTGTAAGACTAGACAATTAATGAAGTTTTGAAATTCATCAAACTCGGTTAGCACAGAATTAAATGATTCATCAATCATTTAATTCTGTTGGCATGGTGACTTTCATGGTGCGAAGCATTTTTAAAAAGTGCTTAAAGGTACTTATTTTTGTTTTCTAAAAGTACCTTAAGGTGCTTTTTTTATTGGGTGTTTTTAAAAAGTGCTTAATTTCCCCTTTTCAAATTGTTCAATTGTTTTTTTTTTTGCATTGTTCTATTCAACATTTTAACAATTCATTCGACCACAATCCATTTTGGTTTACATTTGGTCGGTAGCATTTAAAAGCGCCAATCATTTTCCACAAGTGCGTCTACTGATCTGGTTTTGGTGAGATTATTTAGACACATTTTGCCCCCCCCTTGAAATGAAACCAAAAAATCTTTCGATGTTTTTATTATAGCTAATATAATCAAGAAAAGAGTTCTTTGTCAGAAACTAGTTACTTTATCATGATCATGTTAAGTCTTTGAAAATTATTTTGCATTTTGTTAATGTATATAGTGCTTAAAAAATATTTTTTTGAGTGTTTAAAAAGTACTTTAAAGGTGGTTATTTTTTGTTAAAAGATTTAGCTACTACACACCCTGTCTAAGCATAATCTATGTGATATTTGAGGATGATATTTCAGCTATCTTAAACTAGTTCATTTACTATAGCATTATTTGTTTTAAGTATGTTCAGCTTCTTTCTTCAAATTTTTTAGGAATTATGCCTAGCATAGTTAGCTTAATACAGCTCATGCAAGAGCACAGTGATTGTGTGTATAATATGTACAGGGAAAACACGAAATTTTTATTCCTTAACTTAAAAGGTGCTTAATTTTCGTTGAAAGATTTGGCTACGCACTCTGTATTAGCTCATGCGCTATAGGTTGTGTATCCCTGTAATTGACAAAGCTTTAATATAAAACTAACACTAGAAAATTTATGAGATTTAAAACTCTTCTGTTGGTGTCATAACTTTTACAAACAATAATTTCTTCTAGATCCAAGCCAGGAGTGGAACCCTCACAAAATAGAATTAACATTATGGGCCCATTTTGTCGCTGGTGAACTTCTGCCATCTGTGCTGAACGATCTACCACCGGCAGAGGACCTTCCACCCTCACCTGGTGTGGAAAAAGAAGACGCCAACAAAAACCTACCTGATGAGGATTCTGTGGATAGCTTTGCCAGCAGAGAAGAGGAATATCCATTCCCATCTGATTCTAAGGAACAGAAAGACAATGGCCTTGAGCCATCTGCTAAAAAACTCTGTGTATAATAACTTTCTACATTTTAATCTCATTCATTTCTCTTGGAACAAATCTGAGTGTATACTGTTATGTTATCAAATGCTCTTTTACTGGGTTCATAATCTTAATTATTTAATTTTAAAATGAAGTCAAGGAACTCAAAGCTGTACATTTAAAATTAAAAACACAATAAAAGCTCGACTATAGGGAAATCGACTGACTAAAAATCCTCGAGTGACCGGAATTTTCCAGAACTTTGTAAATTTTTTTTCTAAAGGTGAGTTGGAACATTAAAGAATACACTGTAAAATACCACATCTGCTCTCTATAAATACTCCTCTCCTTTAAGACAGTAGAAAATTTTTGTGGCAAATTCTCCTTCATTACTGATTTAAAAAGAAGGAAAAAGTAAGTTCACCCAATCCTGTCATGAAGTTTCAATTGCTGAAAAAAGACACTTCAAAATACAAACTAATTATTAGAAGAGAACTTCTCCGACCCTCACTTATCTCATAATTTATTTTCATTTGTATATTTTTCAAACTTCATAGTTTGCTCTAGGTTTGTCTGAACTCAGTTTTTCTGCTTTTTAATGAAGGAAAAAGAGAATTAGCAACGAAAATTTTCTTCCACGTCCTCTTAATTTTACTCAATTGCAAACTAGCATTTAGTAGTTCAAAAAAGGCACTACGTCTTAGTTATTACCATTCTTTTTCTTTAGTAATTTTTATGGACAACTTTTTAGTTTTTCTCTTTTATCATTATTTTTTAATTAAAAAATGAGTCTTGTACTCAAGCATTCAGAATTTCTATCTAATCCTATATCCGTGCATATAATATACATAGGTGGCCGAGTGATTAGCGTGCCTGGATGTGGGTTCAAATCCTGCTCTGAACATGGATGTTTCTATTTCTCTCTGTTGTCATCTGATATATATCTGACGGGTATTTTTGGCATGGGTAATGTTGCTCGTCTCCGTGACTTTGGTTTACAGGTGCCCACTGGATAACGATAAATGAGCAACACTTCTGGCATCTTCTAAGGCGAAGAATGAAAGTTCAGTGCCTGCCGTTATTAAAAAATAAATGAAAAATATATATATACATATTCTCTTTTCAATGTATTCCATATAGTCAAGCTTTTACTGTGCTAAAACAATTGGTTTATCTTGATAATGAAGGCAATTGTTGTGTATTGGTATTCATAGAAAATGTTAAACCACTTCCCCCCCCCCCCNCCCCCCCCCCCCCCAAGAAAAAATTGTGAAATTCATAGAAATAGAAAATTTTTGAAAAACTTTTTTTTGCCACTAAACTTATAACAAGAGCTATCGATCGAAATATGAAAAGTTATGAAACATGATTCGACAAATTTTCTTTTACCTTTTCTATTAATGATAATTTTCAATGATTACAGAGCACAGCAATGTTTTCTGCTGCTTTTTAATTTGCTGGTAACATCTCTACACCATCTAAGTAAAATAAGTCAACCTGTTTTGCTCTCAGTATCAATGAGTGCACAAATGAAGAAAAGTGCACAAATTTATACACTTCCTTTTTATAAACTTGTGAAGCATTTATTCTCATTGAAAGCATTACTAAATGCTACTCATTATTTGTATGTAATCAAGTTGAGAAGATCTCATTTTTGCTCCCAATTTATATGAATTTTTTTTTCTTGATTGTTTAGAGTTAAGATAAATACAATGATGTTTCAAACATGCAAAATCTCACTTGATCTTTTTTTTAAAGTGGTTAATGTGTCCACTAATTTAAAAGCCACTAATCTGGTATGTTTTTATATTATTTACTGACTATTCATAATTTTTATTTTAACTCTTTCTAAGACTGTGGTATGTATACTTACCACCAATTTTAAATGTGCATCGTAAACTATTTGACCATTTTTAATTTGGCATTTCATTTGTTAATAACTTCAGTTCTGATGAAACACTTTTGAATGAAATTAGTGACCATATGCTAATTTTAAAAAAGATTTAAAGTGCTATAATATGAATAATTCCTTTTTGCAGCTTGTAGTATTAAGAAAATTTGTTTTATGAACAAAAAAAATGAAAGTCAGTAACTTGCTTTCTTTCTTTAGAAAGACCTAATGAACCGTGATAAATATACTTATCGCCAAGAATGGCTTTAAATTTAAATTAATTTTATATGATAGGTTGAATTTTTTTTTCTTGTATCAATTTCAATTCCGAAAATATTTTAATTTGCATTTAACTACTTTGATTAAATGGTCCATTAAAGGGTTAAAGTAATTATCTTTTAGAATTCTTTTACCCTTTTAATTTTGAATAAGAATTGTGTAGTTTTATTTTATATATATTTTTTTTTTAGGTTTGCTAAACCCAAACTATTTATAAATTTTTCATTTCCTTATTTCATCAAAAATGAAAATGGTACAGATTTCATAATCAAGTCTAAAATTTATAAAATATCGGAACAAAACCTAATTCACTTTTATTCATTGTAAAAATAAAATAAATAAAAATTCAGTTTTGCGTTCACACATGAATATGAAGTTTCCACCTTTTCTGCTTTCTATATTTCCTGAATTTTTGCGTGGTTTTAATCTAAAGTAACGTAAATGTGATGCTCAGTTATTCAGTTCCAATTGTTTATTAAAATAAATAATCCAGACCCAGTTTGTATGATGCTTTTGATCAGAGGATCTTTTTTCTTTAGAAAAGAAAAGAAAAAAAGCAGGTTTTCTTAGAAATATCATTGTGAGTGTGTCATTTATTTAAAAAAAAAACTGTATTATGTGTAATTTATTGAATGAATGATAACCTAATTTATTTATTTGAGTGGCATCTGGTGTTCTTAATTTACAATGAACTAGATTGCAGACCAGAAAGAACTGATTAACCTTGAAACAATTTTATGTATTATTAAATTAGTGTATGACACTTTGCATATAATTGCTTTTTTAACCTTTGACTTCAGTGAAAATTAAAGTGTATTACTGTAATGATTTTATTTTAAGTGATTGTATAGATTTCTTAAGTCTGGAGAATGAATTTCAAAATTGATATCAATTTAAAAGTAAGACTGTTTTTTTTTAAATAATTTATATTTTATAATCATTGTGCGTTATTATTCATCTAGTCATTATTAGGGTCCTGTAAACTATGAGACTATTATTTTCATTTTTACTGACTGGTTGTTATTGATCTAGATCTGTTGTTAAAACTGAAAGAAAAAAAATAGTAAAGGAAAAATTTTTTTAATTTTAATTCTATAAGACCCAATTTTTTCACAGAATTAAGCAGCACAAAGAGCCTTACTACTTTGGAAATCTCCCTTAGACTTCCTCTGAATCAGAATCGAATCATGTCAAAGTTAGATGTGGTGCGTAGCGTTCTTAAAAAGTGCTTATTTCCGATTATAATTTTTTTTTAAACCCTTAAAGATACTTTTTTTTTATTTGGTGTTTTTAAGAGATGCTTACTTTTTCCCTATCATGAATTAAGAAAAGAGTTCTTTGTCAGAAACTAGTTATTTTATCATGATCATGTAAAGTTTTTGAAAGTTATTTTGCATTTTGTTAATGTATATAGTGCTTAAAAGGTGCTTATTTTTTGTTGAAATATTTGGCTATGCACCCTGTTTGAATTAATTTTAGAATATTCTTTGCAGCTTGAGCTTTTTGCATTGATTCTTAGAATACTTAACAAAGTTCTTATTCTTATCAATATTTAAGTAGGTCATTTTTTCTGGTTCAAAAACGCAGTTTTCAGGAGGTTTAATGCTGGTTGCCAACACATGAAAGGGGGGAACGATAGTCAGCGTTATGTTACGAAAAAGGTTTAGCTGCAAAACAATGTAAAGACATTTGTGCAGCAAGTTTAGACGTTTTACTGAAAAAATAAAAATTATACAAATATATGGCATCTTCGCACAATTTATAGGGCCCTAACTATTATGTTTTTATTATTTTGTTTAAATGATTTATCTCACATTGTTAAGAATTTATGTTGTATATTAAACTTTTATGAGACCCACCTTTCTTATACGGATGTTGTGTTCTTTTGTGTGTGCTTTTACATTTTATAATATGAAGGAAATTGAAAACTCACGTTTTTAACTTCACATTTTTTGAAAAGTTTTGTTTATTAATTTTTCTAGTCAAAGTTGTTTTTATTTGCTTCTTATTTTAGATATAAGTATATATTATTGGAATAAGTTAATAGAATCACCAACATATATATTCAAATAGATTTTTTTTTTTTAAAAATTGAGTGCTTTCATGTCTATGTTGGTGAACTAACTACTAAATCACTGAATCAAAACTACTTAACTACTACTATCGTTACTAAATCAAAAACAAAAAGTTCCTCACCAGAACCTAGAAAAAAGAACAATCCATTCTATCGCATCCACGCACCCTCCTTATTTTTAGTTAAAATAGGTTGATACAAAAATAACAAGATTTATTTGCAGCACATTTCAGAGGTATATTCTTTTATATGTACTACTTACATTTCATTTTTTCCAAATTTCGTATTGTAAAAACTATTTGTTAATTTATTGATGAATAAGTCATTATTAAAAATTTTAAAACATTAACCCTGTTACCTTAGAAACAGAATATGAAAATGTTATTGTGACGAAAGTTTTTAAAATGCTGCTATTTGAAATTTTATGACTCAGAAACTAATTGACCAATATTATTCAAGTTTTGTCATTTGACAATACATTGTCTAAAATGGTGGGAAATATTTATACCTTACCATTCAAATTTTTTTTTACCGTTGTTAATGATTTAATACCTATAAAATAATATTTTTGAAATGTTATTTTTAGATAAATAAATTTTATAATTGTATGCAAAATTTTTTTGGCCTGTTTAAAATTTCTATCCTGAAATATGCATAGAATAAAATTTGCATTAGCTGACTCAAACTTTTGGCCAGTCTTCTGCCTAAATTATTGAAATTAAATTATTTTGTTTGAGCTTCCCTTTGAGCTATTTTCATGTTTAAGAATCAATGTTTATTCAGAGAAATTGTGTCTAATTTAACTTAAAATATCACCTTCATTCTACATGCAAAGTAGGTCTATTACCTTATTTAAAGGATCACGTCTTCGAAATATTAACACTTGACTCGTGGAAAACCCAATCTTTAGAACAGAAGCTGTTCTTCATGGCGATTTTATTTTGTGGGTTATTTTCATCTTTTTTGATAATGTTCAATTTCTTTAACAGAGCCGTGGTAGCTCAGAGGATAGAGCGTTCGCCTCCCAATGAGGTGAACCAGTTTTGAATCCTGGCGATGGCTGGTCGATTCGAATTCTGCACCCGGCTTGCACCGACCACAGTGCTGACTTAAAATATCCTCAGTGGTTGACGGATCATGGATTAGAGTCCCCTTGCCATCAGGCTAACCGCCTGAGGTTCTCGTGGTTTTCCACTCCATGTAATGCAAAGCGGGTTAGTTCCAAAAGAAAAAGTCCTCCACCAAGGCAAATTTCTCCCAATACTTTTTCCACCAGTTCCCTTGTCTTTTGGATTGGGTTCTAAATTATGAGGATTGGTAGTCTTAAACTGGAAACTCGGTCAACCATTCAACGACGGTTATAAAATAAAATTTCTTTAACAAAAAAATAAATTGATAAAATACAGGGTTCCTACAGTTCAGGGAAAACCTGGACTCCAAAAATCGGGGAAAGTTGAAATTTTTTTACAAAAACCAGAAATAGTCTCATATCATACCTAAAAACTAACCAGTCTTAAAATTGTCAATAACAGTTATCAGTTATTGAGATTAGAGTTAAATAATTCTAACACCTATTACAGTTATTTGTTATGAAAATTTCACATTTTAATCAAACTGCAACGTCCTCTTCCTCATTTAATAACATTTTATTTGCGCAGAAAATCTAATATTCCCCATCACAAATAAAAGAATCAAAATTTTCTGATGAGAATATGGTCTCAATTTTCATTGAAATTTGCCTGGAAAAGTCGGGACATTTTTCTTTCTGAAATTGAGTGGAAACCATGAAAATAATAAATTATTTTTTAAATTTTTATGTTGTTGTTGTTTTGATTCTATTTCTAAATGAGATTTTCTTTTTCCTTCATAAAAATGTTCACTGCATCATACCTTTCAGTGTTGTGGATGTGATTGTAAAGTTTTCTATTGATTCGTGTTAGTGTAAGCTTGAATAAATTTTTTTTATTAGAATGCAAATGAGACATGTATTTTTTAGTGTAAT